AGGCAGCCTTGAAATGTCTCGTTGGCCTCCTCCCGATCTTTCAATATAAAAATCCCCCAATACCCCGTTTCTTCCTTCTGCAAGGACCAATCCCCCCCCTTTATTCTCCCTCAGCACGCAGCTTCTTCCTTCTGCCCCACGGGACAACTGGTCTATTCTTTGCCAGACTCCTTGAGGAGGGCGGAGGAGGGGACTGAAAAGACGAAGGAGACGGGGCAGGACGGTCCAATGTACGAATGGCTTCTTACCTTAGGGAGGTGTAAAGGGGTGGCGGCGGCGGCGCGCGTTTGTGTACAGCTACCAGGTGAAGTGGGAGAAGATGCGCGGAAACGGAGCAAGAGCAATGGCGCAGAGCGCATCAGGGAACCCCGGTCGCATGGCTTCTTCTTTTTTTTTCTGCGCACGAAGGAGTCTAATTTGATGTACTTTAGACGGCGTGAGGATAGACATGCATGTATGCAAATGTTATGAATACTTTCAAATCTGCGGTTCTCCATTTCGTCCTCATTGTCGATGTAGTGGTGTTGGTCTTGCCGTTTGACAACTTGGTGCAGCAGCTTTCTGCGAGATGTGGCCGAGCTCGCTGGAAGTCAATGATGGGGCCACCTGGCGGAACCTCAAACGAGGTGCGCAAAGCGTCAATGATGTTGAGCCTGTCTATCCTGGTCCCTTTTCTGGCTTGAACGGCATCTCTGTTGCATCCGCTTGAAGGAATCAACTTGTCATGCTGTCGCAACACCGCAGGAAGTATTAGGGATTTTCTGAAAACATCGATGGCCAGCTTGTCAATGTGTCAAGCTTGCCGGCTACTTCTCCATCCGGCATCCGGTGCACGCAGCCAGAACCCGCCCAGAGGCGACACGTAAGAATGAGTGTGGTCCTCAGATTGATTACAGGCTCCCCTTGAGGCTACAGATCCGCCATGTAACCGCCCTGGGAAGATCCTCAGGACTGTTTTATGCGAACCTGGCCGACGTGGATTGAACGAGGGTAAACAAAGCTATGTGTTCTCCTATCACCCAGGGCCGACAGTGCCAGGTCCCAGGCGACATTCGCCGACACGTTTGTCACATTTCGGCATAGCACCACGCACGGCACGGCAGAAGCGACAGTCAATGGGTTCACATAGACTCTCGAACACGCTACAAATGCAAGACGGCATCCCGGCCACTGCCGCGTGGGATTACACGGGGCAGCCGGCGCGTCCCCCAACAGCAGCCGCGCGCCCACGCCCCCCCTTTTTCCATCCCCATCGTTTTGCTCTCCCCCGCCGTTGGTGTCTTTCGTTCCTCGTTCCCCGAGGTCTGGATAGTGAAAGAAGAAAACGGCCGTCGCTGCATCATCTGTGTCCCGGTCACGTCACCAAATGCAATTTTAATGCGTTCCGACAAACAATAAGGGAGGTTGTCATCAGGTCTTTGATTTGGTTCGTGTGGGAGGTCCTTAACCGAGGATCTCGAATGCCAATTGAGTGATGCTCTTCACAAGCCATACCAACTCCCCAGCCGAGTGACGTGCGCAGAAACGGGTTCCCTTTTTTCCTTTAAAACTCTGTTGTGGCGTGTTAGTCAGTACGTCTGGGATGCGTGTGTGCGTCGTGAGAGGGTCATGACATACTCAGAGGAGTGAAGAACCACCGGTTCTTGCCGCTCGTGTAACGCTCCTCCAGAACCTTCTTCACAGTCTTCTTGGAGTCCTCACGCTGGCTGGGCTCCTTGAAGGTGTCGTTGGAGACGGTGCCCTTGAGGCCCTCAAGCTCGAGGGTGTAACGGGTGGGCATGAGGTGGTTGTAGTTGACGAGCTTGACGAAGGGCTTGATCTTGGAGCGCTTCTCCTGGCGCGTCTTGGACATGCGGCGGGTGATCTTGGAGGGGTAGCGCTCGATGCCGGCGACGAGGGCGTGGCCGAAGGGGTGGGCCTTGTTGCCGCTGTCGACAGGCTGAATGATCACAACCTGGAAAACGGGCGCGTGTTAGCGAAATCTCTTCTGTGCATGTGTGTGCGTGTTTTCGAGTTCATGCTGCATTGCCGCTTTCTGTCCCGTGTTGCTTCCTGGTCCGATTGATGGTTCTTTTTTTTTTCCTCTTGCTGCCGTGTCCTTCTCTTTTTCATCGACGTGCCGGTGTCGTGCTCGGGCTCGCGATCCTCTTCCTCCTTATCCTCGGGACTCCCATCAATTTTCCATCGGCCCCCTCTTCCCACCAACCAGGAAACAACGTGGACTCGGTGCGCAGAATTCGTGGGATCGTACCTTCTTGCCGGCATAGCGACCGTGGGTGATGATGGCGACGCGGCCGACCTTAAGGAACTTCATTGTGAACCGGGGGGTGTCGGGTATCTGGACGGTGTGGTGAGGGAGTTCGTCGGTCACTGGGCGCTGGTCTTCTTCAGAGAGAAAAGTTTCTGGAAATGCGTTGGGGCTGTGGGTTAGCCTAGCCCACTGCACACTGCAAGCGAGGGGACCTAAGCACGTGATTTGAGCGATAAGTTGTGGGCGGGATTCTGTGGGATGAGTCACGTGCTGTGACTTCTTGGGTGGGTCTAGGGTGCAGCACTCGACCAGTTAATGAGCAGGTCAAGCTCAAGGAGGAGCACTGACCAACAGGACTGCCGGCCTCGGATTATCTCGTCTGCTTGCTTGCATCTCATCCGCCGAACATCGCGAGAGCTCGCTATCGACTTGTTCCGACCATCTGTCTGTTCAACCTCGGAAGCGCCACCCGCTACTCTGACCATCATCTGGGTTCGACGCGACCAAATCGACACCGTCACCATGCCTGCTCCTACATACATCATCTCCAGGGTGGCCGATCCCATCTTCGCTCTCGCCATTGGTCTCGGCGCTGCCGTGACAAGGATCAACCGCGAAGAGAAGGACAAGGGAAGGTCGACTCAGGAGACCATTGGGATTGCCAAAAGGTGGGCGTCTACATGATGTATTGCGCAAAGTGCCTAGCTTTATGGCTAACGTTGGCAGACGTGTGAACAACTTCATGGCGTCTCTGTGACCAATCAATATCCTACTACAGACACTGCGGGCGGCCAGCCCTCCGTCGATACATGAAGAGCAGCTCCATGCCACCCTCACATAGCAACTAGCGACAGATACCCAATCAATTTCCATAATCCGGCCCGTACTCCTTCTTCATCCCCTCGCGCACCATCTGCCCGCACAGCTTAGCTGTCGGGTTCGTGCTGACTGCCAGACCCTTGGCAATCTCATTGCCGAGCCTGCCACCCATGGCAAAGTCCCGAGAAGCCGCCTCTTCAAAGTCAATCTTGGCCCAGTAGACTCTTCTCTGTCTTGAGCCACTGCCACGCGACCCTCTCCGATGAGCTTGGACGTCGTATGGTAAATGGCTGCACGCTGCGTGTATGCGAGAGACAGCGTCTTGGCCGACTGCGGCGACATGGCACCAAAGGCCAGCTTGGGAGTCAGCAGACTAACCGATGTCTCGGTGTCGCTGAGCGCGGTGGCCGCCGCCCGGGCCCTCTCGTCTGAGCTGGGCTCGCGTACCAGACGCTGCGCATCCTCAGCATTGTCGAGGAGCATGGTGTCACCGTAAAGCCGCCTCAAAGCTTGCGTCCGGTTGTTGCGCGCGCTGGCATAACTGGGGTACTCGGAGACGAAGTCGTCAAGCTTGGAAAGCAAGCTTTTGTACTCCTCGACTGGCTCGGCGATGGTCTTGGGCTTGAGTCCTGCCAATTGAAGCTCGAGCTGTTGCATCGACAAGATAATCTCGCGCTCTATCTGGATGACTCGCTCGTAGACGGCGCTGTCAGTGATGTGGGGGTCGCGCGGCAGCGACTGGTCCAACATGACAATAGCTGCGGGGTCGAAGTCGGGATCCTTGATCTTCTCCAATACGTTGAGGTCATTGCGACTGAGAGATACTTCGGCCATGGCAGCGACGCGATTGGATCAAGTGTTACGTGAATGGTCGAGGGAGCGGCTTAGCTCTTCGTTGGAACAAGTTGTTCGGAGAGGAGGCTGTCAAAGTTGGTACCAGAGACTCGTGTGCTTTCATCGAATGGCATCAACACAACCTGCATCGATGGATCTTTATTCAAGAAAGCTTCGGGCTTTCAAGGTCGGATTCGCAATACAACGGCGGGGCACGATTGTCAGCGGACGCCAATTCCGCAGGCTGACGGCTGCGGAAGGATGGCCAAGGGGGCCAGCTTCGGGTACCAGGAGCGGTACAAGAACATACAGATGACCAGCCACCCGTCAACCTCTCACAATGCACGTCGCCATCGAATCTCTCCAGGACAGCCGCATGACGACCTCTGAGGGTGTGGGGCGTCTCGAAGCATATCTTAGGCCGGCACCCGTCGCACCCGGCAAGGCGCGGCTTAGCTCGGCTCACGGCGGGCGGCCGAGCTGGATCGGCCCCTTTCCGCCCACGGCCTATGCCTCGACGGCCTTGCGTGTCAAACGGTGCCCAGCATACAACCGCTCCCTTCAACAGCCGCCGCCAACCTCTCCTTCTCCTTTCGGCACCCGCTGTCGTGCGAAAACAGGTAGAGAGGGCTCGTCATGGGAGCCGCAAAGCCTGGTAATCCGCTGCTGGACATTGGTGAGGTGCGGCAACCCCGCTTCCCTCACACGGCTTATGGACCACACGGACCAGTGTCAGATTACTCTAGGTGTGCGTGTGTTTCCGTTCTTTTCGGCCCAGCATCTGATGGACCTGACCAGGCGGTCTCAGGGGAGGGTGGATTACGAAGATACTTAAGGAAGTGGTGGTACTTTCGTGACCGTACGAAACGTTGGAATCCTCTTGGTATCTACCCTTCTTCACCATCAATCAATTTCATCCCTCGGTCTCTCCCCCCCCTTAGACTTAACAACGTTGTCAAACGCCCTTTGAATCCATTATATCGAATCACCCCCGATACCTTCTGAGTGTCAATGTCCCCTTCTGCCATCACAGACTCGCCCCCACAGTCCGCCGCCTATCCGGCGGCGCCGCCAACTACAGCAACCCTCAGCGATGGCCTCGCCGTCCAGCAACCTCTTCCCCAGTTCCGCGGCTATGACCACATAACTTGGTGGGTGGCAACGCCAAACAGGCTGCCTCGTATTACAACAACCTTTTCGGTTTCCGTACCGTCGCCTACAAGGGTCTCGAGACGGGCAGCCGCTACATTGCGTCGTACGTCGTCCAGAACGAGGACGTCCGCTTTGTCTTCACCTCGCCGATCCGCTCGGGCGTCCACCTCCCCGCCGACGAGCCCATCAGCAAGACCGACCGCGCTCTCCTCACTGAGATCCACGCGCACCTTGAAAAGCATGGCGACGCCGTCAAGGACGTCGCCTTTGAGGTTGACGATGTGAAGGCCGTCTACACCACCGCTGTGGCCGCCGGCGCCGTGTCGGTCCAGGAGCCTGGCCTCCTGCATGACGAGACACACGGCGACGTGCCACGGCCGTCATCCGCACCTACGGAGACACGACACACACGCTCATCTCGCGTGCGCGGCTCCTACAACGGACCTTCTCCCCCGGTTTCGCCGCGCGGCCCCCCCGCCGTCTCGGTGCCCCTGCCGACGGTGCTCTGAAGCGCATCGACCACTGCGTCGGCAACCAGTCGTGGAACGAGATGGTGGCAGCCTGCGCCTTCTACGAGCGCTGCCTCGCCTTCCACCGCTTCTGGTCGGTCGACGACTCGCAGATCAGCACCGAGTTCTCGGCCCTCAACAGCATCGTCATGGCGTCGCCCAACAACATGGTCAAGATGCCCATCAACGAGCCGGCCCCCGGCAAGAAGCGCTCCCAGATTGAGGAGTACGTCCTCTTCAACGCCGGCGCCGGCGTCCAGCACATTGCCCTGCTTACCAAGGACATCATCGCCACCGTCTCGGCCATGCGCGCCCGCGGCGTCGAGTTCATCAAGGTCCCCGCCACCTACTACGAGACGCTGCGCCGCCGCCTCAAGTCGGATAAGCGTCGCTGGGAGCTGCAGGAGGACCTCGACGTCCTCGAGGGCCTCAGCATCCTCATCGACTACGACGAGGGCGGCTACCTGCTCCAGCTCTTCACCAAGCCCCTCATGGACCGCCCCACCGTCTTCATTGAGATCATTCAGCGCAACGAGTTTGACGGCTTTGGCGCTGGCAACTTCAAGAGCCTGTTTGAGGCTATTGAGCGGGAGCAGGCTGAGCGCGGCAACCTGTGAGCTGGTGCCGGGACAGGGAGTTGCAGGCGAAAAAGGGGGAAACGTGTTCTCTGAAAGAGGAGAACCCCGCGTTTATTTTACAACGCACATCGAGCATGTGTGATGGGAGAATATTCATATCATGAACTTATGACCTCGTTTCAGTAGTAGTGGTCTGGTAGCATTGCTCTTAATGAGATAACGCGCCGTTTCGTTTTGATTTACAACATATTTGTTGCCGGGCCCCCAAAGGAAACATTCGCACCTGAACGCCGCATCATGTTTGTCCCCAAGTGATTCGCCATGGCGAAAGTAAAAAACCCCATGTCCCCCCCCCCATCTCCTTGCAAGGGCAGCCGATTCAGCTCGCCCGGTACTCCGTTTCGCCCTGCAGATGCTCCAGAGCTCCCACGCTTCCTTGCGGCTAAAGCGGTCCCTTACTTACAGCGTGCCTCTTCCTCCCTCACCTCCCTGCCTTGGCCTGGCAAGACCGGGCCGTTCTTGTGCCACGTTTCATCGCTTTGAGAATGAAACCCCCTCAGCTGTCCACCTCCATCGCCCCGTTCGTCCCGTTCTCTCCGTTCGTGACAGCGCCCCGCGCGTCGCTCTGACAGCCGGGGCAGTTGTGTATGACCTCGTGCGCAAAGACATCGCAGTCGATGCAGAAGTGGTTGCCGCACACCTGACACGCGTAGCGACTGCTCTCGCTGACGCCCTTTTGCTTCGGCGCCGGCGCCGGTTCCTCGTCGCCGGCGTCGCCTCGCCTCCTGCCGTCGGTGCCGTTGGCCCTGTGGCCCCGCCGCTGGGCCGGCGGGTCGGGAAAGGGCGCGAGGCACGAGTAGCAGGCGCGCGAGGCGGCGGCGCGGGGCCCAGGGGACCTCGACCCAGTTGCGCAGCGGGAAAGAGGTGGTGGTAGGAGCGGGCGAGGTGGGTGGAGAGGATGAGGTGTCAGGCCGCAGGCGGGACACTCGGCGGGCAGGCGGCAGACGCGGGTGCCGCAGCGGGTGCAGAGGTAGCCCTCGCGGACGGGCGTGTTGTGGCAGGCGCAGTAGGCGGTCGTGTCGGCGGGGGCGAGGGTGCGCGAGGGGAAGCCCATCATGAGGAGCGAGGCCGTGCTCTGGGCCTGGGTGCGCGTCACGGGCGGCGTCGTCGTGCGGAGGAGCAGCTCGCGGTAGTGCATCTCGTCGAGGGCGATGTTGTACTGCGTCGCGTCGCCGGCGTTGGTCTTGCGGCAGAGCTCCTCGCAGATGGCCACCTGGGCCGCGAGCCCGACGATCGACACGCGTATCCTGTCGGTGAGGAGGTTCGCGATCGTGTCGTGAATGTCGCCGGGGTCGCTCGACAGCAGGGCGCCGTAGACGACGAGCACCTCTCTCGTGCCGTGGCTCGGCGCGTGGCTGTACAGGGCCTGTTAGAGAAGGATCCCAAACCAGAGCTCATCACTGTGTCCTTCGCCGACCTTGGTGGACAGACGTCCCAGACACTGGCGGGACGCAGACTTACAACAGGGCACCACGACACATCTCGAGCGCATTCTGCAGACTCGGGCTCCCCTGCGGGTCAATCTCGGCCCACTTGTTGATGGCCTCGACATGCTCGACGGGGTTGCCGCCCATCTCGCTGACGCGAACGGCGACGCCGTCGCGCATGCCGACGATGCCCATCTGCGAGATGGGGTTCTGCTCAAAGTACTCCTTGACAAACTCGCGGGCGAGGCGCCACGTGAGCCGCAGCCGCGTGGGCAGCAGGTCCTTCTCGGCCATGGCGAAGCTCATGTCGAGCACGAGCACGAGGTGCCGGATGATGCCGCGCTGCAGCGGCGTCGTGTCGCGCAGCAGCCGCCGCCGCTTCTCGGCCTCGGCCCGCCCCTCGACGTCGAGGCTGCCGTCGGCGCCCTCCTCGACCGTCTCCCACGACCGCTTGACGACCTCCCATGCCGCCGCCTTGCCGGCCTTTTTCTTCTTGCGCGCCTCCTTGCCGCCGCCGGCCGGCCGCGAGGGTCTGTGGCGGTCGTCTTCGGACTCGACAAAGTCGCCGTCGGAGTCGGACATGGTGGCCCGGGGGTGGGGACAAGCGAGCGTTGAGGTATGCTGTCGGCAAGGGAGGAAGGACGAGGCAGATCGAGGTGTCGAATGGGGGGTGGCAGAAGAACAAGACGGTCGTCAAGTTGGGGATTACTTTGCGGAGGAAGGACCAAAGTGGAAGATCGAAGGTTGGAAGTGTGCAGATGTTGGTGCATACAAGGTGGGACAAGGCTGCAAGTGGTTGATCATCGATTCACAGCCTTGTGCAGGGGCCTCTGAGAACGCTGCCAATCAGCGCCATCGTACTATTTCATGCACCGATATCTCAGAGCGCAACCAACCTTTATTGTAGTGTGGCAATCTGCTGATGAGCGACTTTTTCCAGCCTCGGAAATGTCTTCTTCTGCCTTTCGCCAGCGGAGAGGGGGATTCAGGGCAAGTAGCCACTGCCAACAAGATCCTTATCAGGTCATCATCATTCCACAGCCAGCACTTCCAGGTTACGACTCATCAGCTCAGCAAACACAGGACGCACTGTACGTCAATGAAGGATATGTAACTACTGACTCCTATGTATTATACGCTTCTCTCCGGGGTATAAAGTGCCAACTAAACTACGACTACGAGCCATCCCTCGACTTCATGCTCTACACCTAAAAGCCGAGCCGCGTACACCACCTGCACAC